CATTAGCACCTCTAGTAATATATTTACTGAGAAAAATGGTGACGTGTTCAATACTTATTTTACCCGCTGTATCTGCTATGCTGTGGTCACTCTCCATGTAGCATCAATTATGCTAATGCTAGCTGCCTGTCGAGTTCTCTCGTCCTGGCCACACCTCCGCTCTCTAACCCCGCCTTCCCCACCCACTTTGATGCATTTTTCAAATTTCGCCTTGGGGCAGAGTTATCTTTTCACCGGGTGGGGGTGGGGGTGTAAGATACATTTTAACAAGGCTTTAATAAGCTAAACAATAGAGGTACATGAGAAAATGTCTTCATAACGAACGAAAATAAATAATTAAATTGTGTCCGTGCCGGTCTCAAACCCTGGTCTCCCACTCTCTGGTCCAACATTCTACCCATTGCGCTATTGGAGGCCTGTTGTGAAATAAGCTGCACATTGCACACTAACAACCGTTGCCGGCTTTTTATACTAAGGAGGTGGAGTCTCACCCGGGGGTTGCTAGGTAAGGGGGCCGAACGCAGGTTCCGGTGGGTTGTCATACGGCTTGTGACGTCACAAAATGATGGAGGTATAAAACTTGTTAATATACATTAAAAATAAATTTACTTACAGTAAATGTGCCCTTGGGTGCATTTTTTTGGTCCTTGGACTGTTTTTTAAGAAGTACATACCAAAAGTTGAGTAAAAAAAACCTTTAAAAAGTGAATTTTGCATAATAGGTCGCCTTTAAAAAACCCAAAGCTAATGTTGGTTAACTTGAAGCTGCAGAAGATTGTGGTCAACTTGCAGTGTTTGAGCACATTCTATCTAATAAAACAACGTTGCAACATGTTCATGAACTCCAAACATTTACTTTAGTATTACAGAATGCACCAAGGCTAACAGGAAATATGCAACATTTCAGCAGAAGCATATTTAACCAAGTTCTGTTATTAATCAGTGATTGAAAGATAACGTAACCTCACTTTTACCATTTTGGCTATCAAGAGAAGCCCATAGTTAGTCATCTAGTTCCTTCAAGTAAAATGTATGATCAGCTTTTTAGAAAGGTAAAAGTCAAAGTCTGCAACCATAAAAAAAGGTTTTCATAATCCTGCAAAATATGTCACTGTAATAAATACATAATGTAATTACATTGGACACATTTAGATTTCACACAAATAAACCTCAAATATTTCAGATGTGCAGGTCCAAAGACTGCTTGCAACTGAATAACAAGAGTTTTATATTTTTGTGATCGTGTTTGTTGATTACTGATTTAAAAAAGTATCTAAAAGCATGACTTCCTATCTTGTTAGATCCTGTAACCTTCTATTGCCTTGCTGATTGGTGGTGCATCTGATGGTCTTCTCAGTATAACAGCTAAACTACAGCGGGTAAAATAAGTATTGAACACGTCACCATTTTTCTCAGTAAATATATTATTAGAGGTTCTAATGACATGAAATTTTCACCAGATGTCGGTAACAACCCAAGTGATCCATACATACAAAGAAATCAAACCATAAATGTCCAGAAATGAAGTTATTTGTAATAATGTGGAATGAGAAACTAAAGCTGCTGGAATGGCCCAGCCAATCACCTGACCTGAATCCAACAGAAAATCTATGGAAAGAACTAAAG